AAAAAAAAAAAAAAAAAAAAAAAAAAAAAAAAAAAAAAAAAAAAAAAAAAAAAAAAAAAAAAAAGAGGAAAAAAAGAACAACAAGCAGAAGAATCAATGGATAGAGTTGTACCTTTTAACCCTCCTCTGCTTCCGTTTCCAGACTTTTCTTCAATCCTCTAAAAAGTAAAAACAATCAACAGATGAATATAAGGTCAAAAAAGAAATGAGAAACCCATAAATTAATTAATACTAAAAAGTATTATCAAATCTTTTCTAATTTTTTTATAGCAGAAATATCTAATCAAGCGTAATGTCAAGTAGATGAGAATATAAAATGAACAGGTAAACAGTAAAAACAACTTTGCTACAACAGTATAAGCAATATCTTTGATTGTTTATTTGAATTGAAATTTTTGACTACCTGACAAGTCAAAAAGATGACAGAAAATATTGCTTCATTTCAACATGTAATGTAACACCCAAGCCCAATAAGACTGACCATGAAAATGCAGAGTTTATGTATACATACAAGCATATTTGTGCAGAAAAGAAGAAAAGGAAAGTTGAGTGAACAAAAGGAATTGAATAAAAACGAAGAAGCTTCTTTGTAATTTTCAAAGACAGAGTTATGGGTCAATATTCCAAAACAAGAGGAAGAGGGGGAAAAATCCAAAAAATTTCACTTTCTTTTTGGGCGTTTAGTTTTCTAGTAGAACTGATGTCCCTCTCTCCAGTTCAGTTCAGGCTGAGAGGGAGGCGTCTTTTGATACTTTTAGTTGAGATAGTAAATATGACTAATCATTCTAGCGGTGAAAGAATGATGAAAAGTGGGCGCTTAGAGGGCTGTAAAAGGCAATGCGTACAGTGAGATTCCTGGTTTCCTTTTTTTCATTTTTTTTTTCAATATTTTATTTTTTTCCCGGAAAGCAACATCCTTTTCTTAACCCCAAGCTTTTGTCTGATTCGGTTCTCTTTGAAAGCTATGGAGTCTGATGATGAAAGTTCCTCTTTCACATCCTTCTTCTGACATCTCCTGACTCTCTTTCTCTCTACTAATTTTGCTTTATTCTTTTGCTGAATTTTCTCGACGGGTTTTGAGGGAAACACAAATATAAACAATGTAACATAAACACTGGAAAAAGAAAGCTGTGGATTGCTCACTTTGAAAGTCGTAACTGTTTCTCATGCTTTTTGTCCCTTGCAGGCATTTCATGCATAGCCTGATTTAAAGGGTTCCAAAAAGAGTAAGCAAATTGCAACACGCAGATTAAAAGCAGACAAATAAAAAAACAGAGGGTGGAGGAGGAAGGAAATAAACTAACCAGGCTTCGCTGTACTGTACTGTACTGTATTGTAATAGAGGCCAGCCGTCCAGAAAACAGGTTCTGGCCAACGTCTGATCGCAGACAGCTCTCTAGCCCTTTAAGCAAAGCACACTTTGCTTTTCAATAATCATCAGAAATAATGATTTTCATTTACTTCCCCGAGAACGAAAAAAGAAGAGAAAGATATTCCTCCTCAGACATTAATAATTAAGAATTTTAGTGTCGGTTTTCAGAGCATGCAACCCCAGATGAGACATCCCTATGCTTATAAACATGACTAGTTTGGAAACACTCGATCGTTTTCACTGTAACTTCATAATTACGAGATAAGCTGTAAAGAAGACACAGGCCAGCAAACGAATTGTAAAAGGCCACATAAATAGATATTCTTTTTTTTTTTCCCTCTTCTAAATTCCTTCGTGGGGAATAAATTAATTGAATTCCTTTCATGAGAATCAGAAAAACACTGTGAATGACTTTATATTATGTTTAATTTACAGCACACAATTGAAAAATGTGAGAATGGAGAACTTCAAGAGCAAGCAAATGAAAGATCCATGTTATAATCTTGTTACCATGTTGAGCAATGCGAAGCCATGCAGTTGTGCATCTGGATCTCTAGAAAATTGGGTGTTAAATCCTCTTATACCATTCCTTGATTATGTAATTGTTATTTCAGAAACCATACTCAACATCAACTTTATACCACCAGCAATACCATAGATTTTGTTAAGATTCCCGCCAAATCTTCAAGTTGCAAGTCTGTAAATTTCATCAAACCACCTCGATGTCATATGGTAGAAATACCTATCTGAAAAACAGAAACCTCAATGGGCTATGGACAGTGGGTTATCCTAAGAAAAGAAACAGCTACAATACACGGATAAATCAATATAGTTAATACCAACAAATGACAAACTTACGGAATAAATAAAAAAAACAATACCCTTGACTACAACTTCTTTCAGTATAGAGTCATGAGCAAGGTTGCTATATAAGCAATGGAAGATGGGTTAATTTGAAACATCAAGAATGTTCTACTTGTCCGGTTCTTACTGTAAATTCAATTTACATATACAAGTTGAATTCTTCATTTTACATGCTTAGTGTAAAGGGTTTAGGTTTTTCTGTTCTTCTACTAAAACAATAGCAACTTATTAGGAAGTTAACTCTGGTTATCTCTGCATAATCAGTCTATTTAAAGACCTGCAGAGAATGCGTGTAAATGTGAGTAGATCCAATACATTAATATTTTTCCAGTCACTCACCGTTATCACATAGCAAAGGATAGAAAAAAAGATGTATTGTATTCAGTCAACCCAAAAAAACAATACACAACCTCATAATGTCTTATATAATGATTAAAAGTTTCTAGAAGTGATATAATTGTTTCAATACACACCTTATCATAACAGTTAATTGCTTTAATGCAATTTAACCATCCAAAAGCAAATGTAACCCCAGTTGATGACAAAGTAGAAGGAGCAATAGTAAAACTATGATGGCTTGGATCATGCTGTCCGATCAGTATGCACATATAATACAGATCCGATCAACATTGAAGTAATCTTTTCAATCCTAACTGTTTGTTACAAAGAAAATTTAAAGGAGACGGTACATAATTCCACTAGGACGTGTGCTTTGCATACAAAATTTGGGTCAAACTACAATATTAGCCCCTAAATTATAAAATTTTCAAGTTTTTGTCCCTTACTTTAACAATTTTTATTCTTCTTCAGGCTTTTACATTGGTTACATAATTACCCTTATTGTTGAAAGCTTTATTTCGTGATGGCACTATTATGGTGTTATCATGGAATGCTTATAACACAGTCAATTAGTGGGAAAAAGGAAAGGCCTACGTAGAATCCCATAACTTAAAATGTGGCTTTTTGAATCACTTAAAATTTTGAGAAAAATTCCTGTTGTAGGCAATGATAAAAAATTATACTTCAAAAAAATCAATAAACTGAAATTCTATATTCATACTCTTGTCATAACTTTACTTAGATTCAGACTCTTTCTTTAGACTTTCAATTCACTAGATCATAATTATAGTTATCGTTTAGTACTTCATTTTTCTTTTCTTTAAATTTTTTCAACTTTGGTACATTCAATTTAATGGCTATACTTCTACAAGCATAACAATAACATTGTGGTTCCGATGGTAGATATCCAGTAAAATATGAAGAAAAATTGACATGAACATGTGAAGGTTGGTGTGGAACCTTGAAATTATTTACAGCTCTGACTATATACAGAGAAACTAATGCAGTCCACGCCACAAGGTACCATGCTAACTTTTTTTTTTTTATGAATATTTTACTGGCTAATTAATGTAAATGAATAAAATGATTTGTTTTTAAAAGGAATATAATTGAAAATATTAAAATATGGGTATCAAAACATAAAAAATATCTAACTACGGGGACTAGATTCTAAATTTAACTCTAATTTGTTGATTGAAAGAACTTCTTGGTTACATTAATATGTTAATTTGTTGAAGATCAACGCTAAGAAAATTGAAACCGAGACTAAGATCAACGCTAAATTTGAAAATATTTTCAAGATCAGAGCGTCAAAGGAAACAGTGTCATGCATACTGCAACCAACTACCAAGACAAAAACAATACGTAGGACTGATCAACAAACACTAAAGCCTCAAAATCACGAACAAAGAATGAAAGAATCTCAACCATGGAGCTATGTTTCTTAAGTAGTAAGAAGTGAGGCCAAACAAACCAAAAATTGATAATGAATCACAGGAAATATTTTATACAGGTAAAACTTGAAGTTCTATCGTCAAATGTACTACGATCACTTGCATCATTAAACGCATAAGGCATAACGAAATCATAATGCCTCCATTTCCTATACTTTGCCATTTCGCGGCTACTTTACCTATCCTTATGCTCCGTAAAATTCAGCTTAAAAGATTACTCATAGGTCTAACATTAAGACTACTCAATACTTCAGCAATCAGAATTCAAAGAGGCATTGAAAAATACTGAAAATCTACAATCCATAGTTCACTAGCTTCCAATTCCCGCAGCAAAAGAACAACATAATCGCTAACGAAACTTGCAGATTCAGAGAGGATATGGAAATTACCAGAAATTTGTAAATAATTCAAGGATTTTCACCAGAGTTTCCAGGAGAACCTTCTGGTTCCATGGGAGCACGGCACAAGAAACGCCGCCAAAATCAGAGGACGTAAACGGAATAGGGGCGGGAATGGAGAAAGCACCGCGAAATGTGGAAAGCTTGCTTGAACCTCGGAGTTGGACTCAGGCCCAATATTAAAACCAGAAACTCTAGCCCAAACATAAGCCCAATAAAGTTAGTGATAAAGCCCAATACGAATATTGGGCTTAGGCCCAATATAAAACTACAGAAGCTCCGAGCCCACGAAGAGAACTGGTAGAGCCCTCGACGGGGATAGATTGTGTGGCTCACTCCTCGTGCAATTGAGCTCTTCTAATGGAGTCGTCGTCTTCCTCGTTTTCATCTTTCGAGAATTCTCTTTCTCAATGGGATTATCTCAGTCTATTCATATTACGCCCGATCCTTGCCGTTGTGTTCACGTTCTCCTTGATTTCTCTTGGTAATTTATTCTCCTTTCCCTTGATTATTTCGTGCAATTCCTGTATTTCTGATGTCTATTTCTACTTATGTTTTGTAATCGGAAATCCGATCTCTATTTCTGTAGTATTTATTTAATCCTGCGCTGCACTGTTAATTGGAGTGATTGCGTAGGTTGGTTTTTGGCGTGGAAGCTCGTTCTTGTTCACGTCCCTCTGGTGCAAGAAATTTTTGGTTTGCGTAAGAAATCAGTCAAGCCGAAGCCTCCAACCCGCCGACTATCGAAATTTTATAATAATTTGGATTCCCAAACTTCAGCATCTGGCTGGTGAGTTCTTTTTGTTGTCGTTGTTTTATACCTGCAATTTGTTTGCTAAGCTCATCTGGAATTGTTTACTAAGGTTTAACCGTCGAATGGGAAATTTGTATTCGTCTTGTGTTATTACACTTTACTTCCATGTGAAATCTCATATCAGAAACTTGGTCACCTTGTAACTTAATTACATGGAAGGGGAAAAAAGTACAAAAATCAACGCCACTCATCAAGAGTCGCTGTCTTGGTTTCTTTCATCTGCTGGAAGATTCTTCTTGTCGTGTATTATGTGCTTGAGGTGATCGGTATAATATAGATGTTTGTGTGTCCTGCTTCATGCAATACCGAGTATAGAAGGGAAGATCATGGTAACATTATCATTTTCTTAGAGAATATTATCTCTGCATGTTTTATTTTGCCTTGCCTGCCCATGTGTCTGCGTTTAGGGCGCAAATATGAGCATGCAGACCGTATTCTTTTGTTAGACAATTTCAAGTATACTGCTTTTGGGCTCCCCAATGTGGCACGAGTTTGGGTTTTCTTAATATTTAGATATCCAGAATAGGCTTTAGCATATATGATTACAAGAACACCGTTGGATTTTCTGTGATATAGATAAAATCCTCAACTTTATTTACTAAAGATAGAATTTTGAACTCAATCTTTCGTCATCCATCTTGCAACCAATTCGGTTGTGAAATGAACGAACCATCTTCCTCTTGGAGTCTACCATTCCCATGTGCACATTACAACGTATCTACTAGCCAATCTTGGTCGTGCACTTATCTTGCCTACCATCTTTGTGAAATCCCACATCGGTTGGGGAGGAGAATGAAACATTCTTTATAAGGGTGTGGAAACCTCTCTCTAGCAGATGCGTTTTAAAATTTTGAAGACAATTTCTGCTAGGGTGAGTTTGGACTGTTACAATCTTGCAACTCATCTCGTCACTGTTTCCTCCGTGGCTTTCACAATCATTTCCCTATCACTTTTCTTTTGCAGTGCTCTCTTTCCCAAATTTCAACATCTCCCAGACTAGCCAATACCTTTTTGTATAGGAATAAATGTAGTTTCATAAGCAAAAAACTGACGCTTGTATTCAATGAAAAGTAGATCAAAGTCTTGTACCATTATTTTTTGGGTTTGTTTCGTTGAAATCCCTCATTTTTCACTTCTATGTTTTTCCCGGTGATGACACTTCTTCCAAGATGATGTTTTTACTGATAAATGTTATCTGATCACCCATGTATATTTGTTGGATAGTGCAGAAACAACTAAATTTTGGCCTCAGTAATAGATAGGTTTTCTGTCGACAGATGTATGTTTTGAGCTTGGAGGCCATCTTAACTGAAATGCAGAACGTAAACCCAAAAGAAATAGTGCAGTATTGGCCAATTGTTTGAGATGTGTATAGCTCATAGTGAAAGTTCATTTAGGAATGCACGTTTTCTGCCACAACGACGTTCTGACAGAAAATAGGACTAACTACATCTATTAAACTACTCATGTATATATAGTACAAGTTTTAAGTCGATTTGGAATTACTTCTCAAGTGCTTAAAAATTCTTAAAAAGTTGTTCCAAACAAGCCCTTTTAATGCTTGAATTGTTTGATAGTTTAATCAAATGAAGATTGAACAATGTCAAGATCTTGACCACCAAGTCTTGACGATTTGTTGGAATGAACAGTAATTATGGTTGCTATAGCCTTGATGATTTTTAAAATTGCTTTTCAGATGACCGTGATGGTGATTACCTCATTGAGTTCTGACATGAGCAATGGCTTATGCTTTGTTTTATTGTGACTGTAAATTCGGGTTACTCGAGTTCTTCAAGTTGTATATATTCACCTCTCTTCTCAATTTCAAAGTCTTTACTCTTTTCATTGTTACCTGTAAATTTGGGTTACTTGTATTTGTTGGACTAGTTATGGCTATTTTATCTTCATAAAGTTTTTTTTTTTCATTATTAATTGAGTTCATTCTCAAAGAAACTGTGAATAGCATTTATTCAAAAAGTCGGGCTGTTATGGTACGTTGAGTGTGATTGTGGGTTTTGTCATCATTTGGATTGGGGTGGAGTGCTCAAGTTTGTGAGTTTCCCAGGTTGGTCTATTAATTAGGGGTCGGCTTTAGATTGATTGCAAAGGCTGTCCAACCGCCCCTCTCCCTAGTTGTTACCTACTCGTGCTTGTAGCTCAATCGGAGGTCGGACCAAATTGTCTGTTTCGACATGATACATGACAGAAATAGCTTGATGGTATAGCATAGTCTTGTCAAGGCTGAGGTTGAGGGTGCAAGTCCCTCCTTCCGCTCAAGGCTTCATCGTTTACGGGGTGCATTTGCCGGAGATTGGGTTGATCCCCAAGTCTTTTATTATTTCTATCCTTGAAATCTGCTCTTTCCAATACTTTTGTCTGTCTTTATTTGTCTACCTTTTCCATCTTTTAAGGATACACGCAAGGAGGACAAGATTTGAGTTTCAAGCCTAAGTGTAAGGTTATGATATGATAAGGAATAGTAAGATTTAGATTACTTTGTTGATCGAATATTTCAAGACAAGAACATTTTTGAGATTCGAATCACTCCACAAGCAAGATCGATCACGTCTAGCTTGAATGATTCTTGTTGATCAAATATCTTAAGGCAATAACACTTGTTTGAGATTCGAATCACTCCACAAGTAAGATTGATCATGTCGAGCTTGAATGATTTTACATGCAATTTAAACTACATAGAATTGCAAAGAAACTTAGCCATTGGCTAAAGAAGAGCACAAATGCTTTTTACTATATTTTCCACGTCTACTTACAAATTCAACATACATGGTTTTATATAGCCTCAAAATGAAATTAGACATTCAGAGAGTTGTAACATTCCTACTTAATGACAATAATTAATCATTGTGTAATTGTAACCTAAAATAACTAAAAAGTCTTAAAATACATGAGTAAACCAACTCTAAATTACTATACATTGTAATCCTTCATTCTTCTTCAATGTGACATGAATTGAAATATATTTGGATAATTTCAACAATATTTTCTTCACATCTTCATTGAAATATATTGTATGATTGATGTCTCTTGGTTCTTTCTCCACTCACAAAACTTGATATTTTCCCTAAAAATAAATGATGCTCTTATTCATTGATTTGGGTGATGTGATAAAACATTTTTTAAGTAGGTGTTGTATGGTACAATTTGGTTTTGTAGACGGGTTTTCTTTTCAAGTCAGGTGAGGCCCGTATATTGATTGGTGGTGACTCGAGATCTCTCATCTTAAAAAAGACATTTAGAAAAGGACATCAGCTACTACACGTCGACAAGAACATAACATTTAATGATTTTTCTTATTAACTCTTAATTTACCTAAACTTAGTTAGTCAAATTACTCATCAAATCATCTTTCCAAATTCATAAAATTCATCAAAACTTTCCACAACTTTCCAAAATTCATCAAAACGTTTAGATTAAAAAAAAAAAAATCCTATTTTTTCTAGATATGTCCTTCACAAGAACTTTGCTAATTCTTCAATTTTTACCCTCTTCCCCCGCCCATTTTTGAACGATAACGTGGCAAAGCTTTCCGAGAAGTACAGATTCGAGATTCCTTGTTCTCTCCATCTCCTTCCCTGCTGCTTTCCATTGCTCTCACACTGGCATAGGTACGTCTTTAATTTCTGAGGCAACAAAGCTTTTTCCATCGTCTGATTATGGCAACTCTCGTAGATGGGTTTCTTTCGTCAAACAACACTTCTCCTGCTCTTCTTCCATCGTCTTCCAAGTTAAACTTTGACCTCTGTCCCAGTTTCAGATTTTCTCGAAATTCCATGAATGTAGCTTGTAGGATGCATTCCACTGCGATATCGGCCCATAATAGATCCCAGTGTCGATTTGCTCCAGTTGCTAAATGTCCGGATAGTAATGATGCAGGTTCTAACGTTCCAATCGCTCGTAGTTTCGCTTTGTTTAATCGTAATGTCCAGTTTGTTAAATTAAATGCTCGGCGAGTTGATAGTTTGATTGGAAACAAGCTGGCAAAGGTTTGTGCGAAGTGTGCGACGTGCGTGGATAGTGACCGTAAGGTATTCGATGAAATGCCTGAGAGACCGCTGCCTGCGTATACAGCTTTGATTAGGGCGTATTGTCGGTCAGAGAAGTGGAATGAGCTCTTTGCGGCATTCGGATCGATGGTTGAGGAGGGCATACTACCTGATAAATACCTCGTGCCCACGATTCTTAAAGCATGTTCCAAAATACAAGCGGTGAAGACAGGTAAAATGATTCATGGGTATGCCATTAGGAAGAGGTTGGTCTCTGATATTTTCATTGGGAATGCTCTTATGGATTTCTATGGTAATTGTGGGGATTTGAGATTTTCGATCAATGTTTTTGATTCAATGAGTGAAAAAGATGTGGTGTCATGGACTGCGCTTGTGTCTGCTTACATGGAAGAAGGTCTTTTGGATGAGGCGATGGAAGCATTTCACTCCATGCAGTCTAGCGGATTGAAGCCTGATTTGATATCATGGAATGCATTGGTCTCTGGGTTTGCTCGACATGGAAAGATTGGCACTGCTCTCAAATACTTGGAAGCTATGCAAGAACAAGGATTGAGCCCAAGGGTTAATTCATGGAATGGAGTCATATCAGGCTGTGTTCTGAATGGATATTTCAAAGATGCTTTGTATGTATTCATTAACATGCTGTTGTTTCCTGAGAATCCAAATTCTGTCACTGTTGCGAGTGTTCTACCAGCTTGTGCAGGATTGAGATATCTGGGTTTAGGCAGGGCTGTTCATGCCTACGCTCTTAAGTGCGAGCTGTGTACGAACATCTACGTCGAAGGATCGTTAGTCAATATGTATTCGAAATGCGGGCAAGACGATTATGCTGAAGAAATTTTTGCTAAAGCAGAGAAGAAAAACATTACATTGTGGAATGAAATTATTGCAACTTATGTGAATCAGGGAAGAACTAGCCAGGCATTAGAACGTTTTAGATCAATGCAGCATCATGGACTAAGACCTGATGTTGTAACCTACAACACACTGCTGGCTGGATATGCAAAAAATGGGCAGAAAGTTGAAGCATATAACTTGCTAACTGAGATGTTGCAGAAAGACCTGGCACCTAATGTTGTATCTTTGAATGCTTTAGTGTCTGGATTTCAACAATCTGGGTTAAGTTATGAAGCTCTTGAGTTATTCCAGACCATGCTTTACACTGCTTGCCTTGTTGATAAGGTGATTACTTCGCCAATCAGACCGAATATCGTCATCACTATAACTGCAGCTCTGGCTGCTTGTGCTAGCTTGAATTTATTGCACAAAGGGAAAGAAATCCATGGATATATGTTGAGGAACGGTTTTGAAGACAACCACATTGTTTCGAGTGCTCTCATTGACATGTACTCGAAGTGCGAGTGTATTGATTCGGTGATTCAAGTATTTGGGGGAATAAAGAACAGGAATGAAGTTTGTTGGAATGCCTTGATTGCAGGTTTTAGGAGAGTTATGCAGCCCAAAATGGCGGTTGAACTCTTCTGTCAAATGCTAGTAGAAGGCATAAAACCAAGTTCAGACAGCTTTTCGATACTTCTCCCTGCCTTGGCTAGGACAGATTTGATAATGAGGAGACAGCTACATTCCTATATCATCAAGAGTCAACTCGTCGAATCGTGCGATGATCTCTCATATGTCTTAAGTTCAAACGAGTTTGATGGAGGAGTTATGCTTCATGGAACATAATGCATACTCGGGAGACATCCGACCTGCGTTTGTGGCAATCAAACTTTGGTTTCAATAGATGGGAGGACTTCAGATGATGAGGCACTGCATCTGAACTGCCACCACGGTTCAAGGGGAATTTTCTTGCCAATTGGAACAATGTTTAAAAAAATCACCTGGCGTTAACGTCCTATCTGTTCTCGTTACAAAGAAGGCTTTCATATATACCTCCCAGCCGATCATCCCCACGACATCAGGTTGATCAAGCTGGTACTATGCATTCTTACCCTAATATACCCTCTTGAGTACTCATCTATAGATGGTGGGCTTTGGGATTGCATAACTTGGCTACCTGGCTCATTGCAACCAATACTTAGGTTGTCCTATTACAAGATTATGTGCAAGATGCAAGTCCATGTCACGATTAGGCGTAGTGAGGAGGTGTGTGCTTATCGAAAATAAGTGAATCCCAAGTGCCTATTCCAAGATTATAGGTATGCTCGGAATTGCTTTTGAAATGTATTGTATCGTGCTTACGAGCACTTCTCACTCAAAATCATTGTACCTAAATCATTTTTTCAAGTGCAAGAATCATTTTTTCTTTCTTTTAGACTGTGAACTAAATAGTATATACAATGCTTCTGTACAATAAATACATACTAAAGGTGTTTTAGATGGATTTCTATACAGAACCGAACCTTTTCTCTGTTCCTCTTCCTGTTTCTTCTAACGATATTTGCAGCACTTTCTTTGAGGCCAATCAATTCAATGTATTAACTACACGTTGTCATCGTCGTCTGTATCGAGCTCGAGTCCCTCCTCAGCTAAAAGTTGTCTTATTAACCTTTTCTTTTCCTCCTCTGCTTTTTTTCGCATCAAATCTCTCTTCTTCAAGACGAGTGTGTGTCGTTTCAGTGTGCTGTTAAAGTAATCTATGGACGCCCTCTTTTCTTTTGCCAGTAGTCTTTTCTCTTCGTCTGGATCAACCTGCAATACCCTCCACTTCAGAAACAAGGTGTTCAAACATAAGAACAACCATAACGATAGACGTTTCTTAGCATCAAAGGTTCGTTCACCTTTGATCGAGAAAGGCGCCGAGCTCGTAGATTCATCTCACGCTGCTGTTGCTCAGCCCAAGCTACTATTGCCATTTCGCCCCGTTGATCAAAAGCTTTGCGCTTTTTGATAAGCCACTCCATCCATGCTTGGGATGCCTGATAATCAACAGAACAAGCTATTTGTAAGAAGAGAATTTGTTTCTCTACAAAATGAGATTCACTTAATCTCATAAATGAAATCAAACCTTCATCGGATTCACCCGGTTATCGACATCATACTGCCTCCGTTTCTCATCATCTATGAGCAACTCATAAGCAGCTTGAATCTTGATGAATCTAGCTTCAGCTGTTTCTCCTTCTTCAAGAGTTCCTCTACCATCATAAACTTTGAAAACAGAAAGAACCAGTTCACAGTTACAGAAATAAGTTCTTTAACCAAACACAAGCAAGGAACACAGAGATGAAGAAAGACGGATTTCTGTAGTTTTTTTTACGATAGGCAGTACCGATTGACGTATAGCGTGGCATAGGTAAGAAGAAGTTGCAAAAAAATGATCCCAGTACATTCATAAAACACAACAAAACTTGAGAAGCCATGATTCTTTTCAGACCTGATAATCAATAACAATCTCATGCATAACTCCAATAAATTTGGCAACTGGAAAAGATTATGAATCAATGGCAAAGAAATATATGACTTACCATCCATCTTAGAAATGGTTTAATATGTGATTAACTTAGATGGTCTAGTATTTTAATTGCAGACTTGTCTTTCCTTCCTTCTCACAATTGATGAACATCTCAGGTTTTTTTTTTCAAGATAAGAAGAACTTCATGAATTTAATCATGCGGAACTTTAAACAACACAATTGTTTCACTTGAGCAAGGAGCAAACCATCCGGATGATAAAATTTGGCCAAGCGCCTGTAGGCACTCTTTATCTGATCTTCACCAGCATCCCTCTCTAGTTCTGTTTTTATTGGATTAAAGAACAAATGAAAAGATAATTCAAAATCAGTCCATAGAAAGTAATTGAGATGCATAAAAGCAAAATCGTTCCATGAAAACGAACTGTATCCTTGAAATCATCAAGAACGTTTATCACAAAATCAATAGTCCAGAGTCAATGAAGACACTATTAGTTCCATTTACCCAATCCAATTTCTTCACACAATCACAGTTTCTAAATGGAAGTGTATCAGCCTAAGTCTACCGTTAGTAGATATTGTTCGCTTTAGCCCATTACGTATAGCCGTTAGCCTCACAGTTTTAAAACGCAGCTGGGGAGAGGTTTCCATACATTCCTTTTATAAGGAATGTTTCGTTCTCCTCTGCAACAAACGTGAGATCTTACAATCCACCCCCCTTGTGGGCTAGTGTTCTTGTTGGCACATCGTCCGATGATTAGTTCTGATACCATTTGTAACAACCCAAACCCATCGCTAGCAAATATTATCTGTTTTGACCCGTTACGTATTGCCATTAGCCTCACTGGGAAGAGGTTTCCATACCCTTATAAAGAATGCTTCGTTCTTCTCTCCGACCGATGTGGGATCTCACAACCCACCCCCCTAGGGGTCCAGCATCTCATTGGCATACCGTCGACTGCCATTTGTAACAGCCCAAACCCATCGCTAGCATATATTGTCAACTTTTGCCCGTTACGTATCGCTATCAGCCTCACAGTTAGTTTTAAAACACATCTGCTTGGGAGGAATGTTCCTTCTCCTCTCCGACCAATGTGGGATCTCACAATTCACCCCTTGGGAGCCAGCATTCTCATTGGCACACTGTTCGGTGACTGGCTTTGATACCATTTGTAACAACCCAAACCTACAGCTAAAAAATATTGTTCGTTTTAGCCCATTACGTATTGCCGTTAGCCTCACAGTTTTAAAAGGCGTTTGCTAGGGAGAGGTTTCCACACCCCTACAAGGAATATTTCGTTATCCTCTCCAACTAGCGTGGGATCTCATAGGAAGCATCACTGCAAACCAAAGCTACCACAGGAGACCACGAAGCACAAACTCAAGAACCGTGTTAATTTTCAATCCCCCCACATACGCTAACAGAGTCAATGTACAGTTCGAATTCAATGCAAGGTAAGCATATCCAGAGTAGCATTAACGAAGACGAAAAACCCCAAGCGCTATACAAAAACGAAAAGAGAGAGAGAAAAAGGAAGTTACCGAGAGTTTCATAGGGAGTTTTTTCGTTAGCCCAATTGGAAGCCATGGCCAGCGTCCTCCTCTGATTGATACGGAACCACTTCTCAGTCCGACAAAAGGCAGACGAGGAATTGAAGGTGGGAGAGAAAACAGAAAAGCCGCGCTTGTAATTAGGGTTCCGAAACGAAACCCTGGGCATAGACTGGCATCTGCTGCTAATGAGGAAGGAAGAAAACATGGCATGAGGCCTGCAAACCGTCCTCAAACTGCTCATTCTTTTGCTCCACAAGTACGAAATTCTGAAACAAGCTGATATTGAAGGAGAAAACCCAAAAAGCTCGTGGGGAAATAACTGTAAACTGAAATAACCCGTTTTTGCTTATACGCCTCATTTTTTTTTCTCTCTCGCCTCATTTTTTCTTCTCTCTCCCTTAGGCTACCAATTTTACTTCCATTTTCTTATAAATTTTTGAAGTAAAATATGGAAACTTTATTCTCTTCCACTAGGGGTCAAGGTGACCCGGGTAGATTCCACGTGAATTTCCATGAATTTTCACGTAAATTTTGATGTGGAATTTCCACCTGAATTTTGATGTGGTGATTATACCATTAGGGGTCAAGGTGAATTTCCACGTGAATTTTGATGTGGTGATTATACCATTAGGAGTCAGTGAATTTTGATGTGGTGATTATACCATTAGGAGTGAATTTTGATGTGGTGATTATCAAGGTGAATTTTTACGTGAATTTTGATGTGGTGATAATCAACCTGAATAATCAACCATGAGTTGAGTGAGAACTACTAAATGAATTTTGATGTGGTGATAATCAACCTGAATAATCAACCATGAGTTGAGTGAGAACTACTAAATGAATTTTGATGTGGTGATAATCAACCTGAATAATCAACCATGGGTTGAGTGAGAACTACTAAATGAATTTTAATGTGGTGATAATCAACCTGAATAATCAACCATGAGTTGAGTGAGAACTACTAAATGAATTTTGATGTGGTGATAATCAACCTGAATAATCATCCATGAGTTAAGTGAGAACTACTAAATGAATTATCATGGATCGATAATCAACCACAACCATGAACTGAGTAGTGCAACCACATAAAAAGAAAATTTCAGTTGAATTTTAAGAGTTTTTTTAAATCTTTTTATAAGAAAAACTCCTCACTTTATTAATCTATTTTTAAAAAAATTATAATATAAAAACACGATAAAATTTGTATTTTTTTTTTTTTTCCTTATTCACCTACCTAATTAATCATTTATATCATATAATTATTCTATTTAAATATTTTTATAAATATTTTTAAGACACATTTCTATAAATATTTTTAAGACAAAGGCTACTTGAACTATACAAAGGCTACTTGAACTATACGTTATAAAAGTAAACAAATATGAACGATTTAAACTTTCCTATATATATATATAAATAATTTCCGACCTCATTTTAAGGTAATTTCAAATTTTTATCAAAATACACCCTGTGTAACAGCCTAGGACAAGCTTATACACCTATTGTAACGGCCCAAGCTAGCTCAAAAGCTTATACACCTATTGTAACAGTCCAAGCCAGCCTAGGCCAGCTCAAGCTTACTGCTAGCAGATATTTTCCTCTTTCAGCTTTTTCTTTTGGGCTTCTCCTCTCGGTTTTAAAATATATCTACTAGAAGAGGTTTCCACACCCTTATAAATAATGTTTCGTTCCCCTCTCCAACACCGATCACCCATCTTACATATAAAAATAACAAAACACGAGACATAATTATTCACAATATCAAGAGCTTAACCTGCGCAAATGCGAAAAGATCCACAACCACGATAAAATGAGTCTCTAAATCAAAGTCGATATTAAGTTAACACGAAAATAATTCAAAACTATTAACAAAAGTTCAAAGTTTACCAAACACTTAAACAAAAAGATAAAAACAATAAATCTTTTCCAGGATATTTCAATATCCTTCCCTTCTTTGAACCAAAAAACTTCGAGAGATTGAAAATCAAACCTGAAGCTATGGAAGAACAAGCAAATTCCACCGAAAATTAATGAAAAGAGGCAGTCCACAACACATGAAAAGCTAGCAGATCATATCTGTAATCAGTAACAAATAATGCAAGAAAAAGCTGTATAGATCTAAAAGGAAACTAAGATTAGAACCAATGAAGAATGGGGGAATGATATGAGCAATTCTACTGATTGCCATTAGAATAAGATTAAAAGATGAAAATAAGGAAAGCATACCTATCCAGAAGGTTATTCAGATAATTTAGCATATGCCTGAAAGATGATTATAAAAGCACCATCCTAACACTACCCATAATCTCTCACAGCTCACACCCCAATAGGTTCTCCAGTCAATAAGTCAGCTTTACAAGTTGGAAGCTCCCAAAAGCTTGAACTACTTTGTTTTTGTGTTTTTTTTTTTTTTTTTTTCATTTTGAGGAGCAGAATTTCACAATATTCAACCAGCAACTCATCTAATTCTGTATGACTCAGAAACTTCACCAAGCACCCAAGTTTACCTTCTACCAGGAGACAGAAATCAAACTTCATATCTTCCAATACATTTTTTCTTTTACTCTTTTGTTTATTTTTTGACTGTTTTTTTTCTTTTTACATAAATTCATTTAGTGAACGCTTCGAATAAGAAGGATTCATTAGTGTTTCGATGCATCAGGGCGAGGCCCATTCGAAGTAATGGCAACGTGCACCTTTGGTAGCAGTCCAGTTCCCACAGCCAAAGAAACAACTCCCTTGCTTTGGTCCTGGCTTGCGAACCATACCTCTGCTGCTTCTAACCCCGCAGAAACAGTACGGGTAGTATTGGATGATGGGAACGTGCACAGGCTTTGGTTTCATTGGGGGTTGCGGAGGGAGTGTCATGGCTTCTGGGGATTGTTTCCATTGGAATGGGCAGTCAGAAGTCTGCCACATCAATGAATTGGTGATGGAAAATCTGAAGCCTCTATGCATAAGAAGGGCGAGTAAACGAGCAGTGTTCTTGGCATCATCAAGACCACAATGAGCACGACCTTGCCAAGCTAAGCCTGCCATCTCAACCGCTTCCTTTAAATTGCATTGTGCTCCCCCAAAAACCTCACGAAATGGAAGTTTTAAGTTGATCCATCTATCAATAAAATCAGAGAAGAAAAGTAAGAATTACATCCAAGTACTAAATAAAAATATAGTTCTTTTCGTAAATATGCCTGTGTAGGCGCCAACATACGGTGGTAGCTATATATTCTTCATTCAGAGTATATTAGAATACCGACAACATCGTTTCTTATTGTGATGGTCTTTTACACAAAAAAACAATGGAACAGCCAGTCAACCAACAAATGCAAATGGAATACTGTTCTACAGGAAGATGAGCTATGCCAGTATGTTAAAAGTGCTAAAAGCCAAAAAAATAGTGCTTTCCCTCTAGATGTAGGAGCATTTTCCGGCTAATGTTATACATGAAAACAACGAACACTTGATGAAATTTGCATTTTCCGAGTCATTTTGTTCCCTGGATTTTGTGTTTCTGGTGCACTTCCCAATTCGTGGTAGTATAGGAGAAATAACTTAAATTATTATTTGTACCATAAGTAGAAATAAATTCTATAGGGGATCATTTACCGGTTGAAATATGGAGGCTTCCGAATCTTCTTGAAACGGCATTCCGACTCTAACATGACTCGGCAATCCCAGTTAGACCAAGTTACCACCGCGAAATTTGTATTCTTAATCCCCTTCTTTTCAAGCCATTTATCATGCCTGAGGAGAGCTTCATTGAGAGTAACACCTCTGTCCACCTACAGACAGCAATGAGGTAAGATAAAAATCAGGTCCTAAACCAGATAAACAACAACCAAGTGTAGTTATAAAGGAAACAAAATGAGACGCCAACACTCCAAAGGTATAGTTTTCATGGAACCAGTTACTTCCCTTAAATGTTCCATCCAAGAAAATATTTATGAGAAAACATGGCAATCAATATGAAAGAAAGGGAAATAGAAAACTCCTAAAAATCAATATGAAGGGAAAACATGGCAATCAATATGAAAGAAAGGGAAATAGAAAACTCCTAAAAATCAATATGAAGGGAAAACATGGCAATTAATATGAATGGAAAACTCTGAAAAATCGGGTCAATGCCCTCAAAACCTAATTTCAAAGCACACGCCAATGCAGGCCAAGCTCAAAGGAGGAATATCTCTAGATGAAATTGAAACGTTATTCCTCCCCAAGGAAACAACCTAGATGAAAAACCTAACATTCTTCAGAAGACGGATGACTGAACTTCCAAAGCTGGGATCCAATGATCCTCCCAAAAGTCACACACCATTACAATAAATCAAACATTATTAAGGAATCAATGAAAGCCCCTAGAAATAACTTTCCATTCATATTTCTCTTTTATGATTTTTAGTAAATTTGAACCAAGCGACCTCTTGAAACATCAAAATGTTGTTCCTGTTTTTTTTTTTTTTTTTTTTTTTTTCCTGGTTCCAAAAACAATGTCTAACAATCATCTTTCATCTCAAAGAACCATTTCTTATTTTTGGATTTTTTTTTTAAATATTACCTTCAAACAACCCATTGTCAAACATTTAGGAAGATCGGGACATGTCAACAATATAAGAAAATATACTATAGGGAGCCGTTTGGTTTGAAGTCTTGTTTATGATGTCAGGGAAGAAGATGTTTGAGAATCAAATGTGTGTGTTTGGTGTTGTATGGGAATACTTTTAGAATTTCATAAAAATAGATAATATTTTTATCGATTCCCCAAGTTTGTTCTACGCTAACAAAATGCAACCTCCAAGTGTAATCATTTTCTTTGAAGAGAAGGAAAAAAAAAAAAAAGAAAAAAAAAATGAAGCTTTGAACAAACCTGAATTTGCTGAATTCCTGTTAGATCCCTGCAGAAATCGCTCAAGAGCTGATTGCACGTTGGACGCACGTAAGTTTGAAAGCAAGCTTCTAGTTGGCCAGTCACACTACTTACAATTACAGATGGGAACTCAATTATTTCCTGCGGATGGGGATTTCTATCCTTATCACACGTTGCTTCAAAGTCTATAACCACAAAATATTGGAACTCTTGCAACCGACGATCGCAATGATAATTCTGTTCAAACATTTTGAAAGGAAAATATTGGAAGCGATTCTCCACTGGCAAAGAGTAGAACTGACATTCGGAAGCACTCATCTGGCACTGCTGCACCTTTTGAGAGTCAAAATGGAAGGCTTGCCACGATCCAGAATTATGCTGATAAGCAGGTTTATTGTGAAATTCATTTGGACGTTCAATGAAATTGTTAGCCAATAGGTGGTTTGTTTCAGGAATATCATTGCTGCCATGACAACTGATTTCATCTGTAAGTTCTTGGAACCCATCAGCAGAATTTCCACTATGTTGCAG